AATGATAGTTTCTCCCATGTGTTCCCTGTGTTCCGTTGTAGCGTGCAGCCACTCTCCATCTGGCGATCGCACGTCGAGCGCTTCGCTGGGCCGCAGGGTTTTTAAATTTGATTGTAATATAATCGCGAGGTACTACTGACCGGAGAAACCAAATCCCACTTTCCGCGAAATAAATCTAGTGAAATTGTTTAAAAAACGGTACGCAAGTGTTATTTTATTCTATTTTATCTTTTTTTTTCATCTTTTCGTAAAAATCCTCTGGCGCACTATCAATCCCTAACAGGATCTTCTAGTGTAGGACACTCCTTCTGGAGCTTACAGCGGTTAATCTGTGTTTTTCTCAAGCGTCGTTGCGAGCATGGTAAGTGTGCCGCCGTCCTGTTTTTATCTGTTCACCGCTAATCTAATGTCCTCTCTCTCTTGTCTCTCTCCAGACTGTCTCAAGCTAAGCCTAACAACAGACATACCGATACACCGATATACTTCTCTCTTGCTGCCCACCGCTACAGCGAATAGGTTGGCACACGTGAGAAGCCACAAAGCCATCTGAAAGGAAGCCAACAAGCAACTGTTACCATCAGGTCAAGAGGTCTTTTGTTTTTGAGGTGAGCCTCAGAGACAGTCAATCACTTCACGATGGGCCCAATTGCGAGGCACACTGGCACCCTTCACCCGTACGGCGCCGAGGAAGCGAATCGGCAGCCCGCCCCCGCCTTCAGCTCCACCGAGGACGACGTCGGCATTCCCCTCCACCCCGGCGCGAAGAGCCTCTTCGACCACGCACCGGTGCTACGTCGCATTCCCATCTTCGGAGAGACCTGCGAAGCATACGGTCCCTCATGCACCATCAGCCTCGGTCTCTCCTACCTACTCTGCAAAGGTTTGTCGTTTGGATTTCTGAAAGGCTCCATCTTCCCTATCTTTATCAACGTTTACAAACTGGAGGCATCTCGCTACCAGCGGCTTATAGGCCTTATGGGGCTTTCTTTTACTATCAAGGCCTTCACCGCCGTGATATGTGATACATTCGCCTTCTTCGGTTACACCAAGCGCTGGTACATGTTTGCCTCGTGCGTTGTGGGCAGTGTCTTCGCGCTGCTCTACGCCCTGCTGCCAGCCAAGCAGTCCTCTGGTAACATTGCTGCCGGTTTTGTATTCCTGAGTAGCTACGGTGTTGCCAATGTGGACGTTCTTTCCGAAGGCCATTACAGCCGTCTTATGCGTAAGATTCCCAAGGCTGGCCCGTCACTAGTGAGCTGGGTTTGGTGGTTTATATCATCTGGAGGTACTGTAGCCGTTATGATCATGGGCCCGCTATCCGATCTTAATATGCCGCATGTCGGTGTGTTCATCGCCGCTGGGCTTCAGTTCCTTTCATCTTTGATCCACATTTTCAACCTGTACGGCGAGAAGATGAACCGCGAGGAGCGCATTGAGGACGCACGTATTACGCACAAGGAGCTACTCCTGGAGCTTGAGAAGGGGAAAGCCCCAAGCCGCACGGAGGGGAAGCAAGACGGTCTCAATGTGGATCAGGGAAAACCTCCACAGTTGCTGGAGCCGATCTGCGACGGCGAGACAGTGGCGTTGGCTGACGATCTGCCCATGAACCTTACCCACACAAACCAACAGCAGGCCCAAAAGCTGAAGGAACATGCAGGCACATACCAGGACGAGGCGAGCCCAGAGCTTCTGCTGCCGCAGCCGATCATCTGTTGCTGTGGACTTATCGATATCAACAAGGAGGTCGCCATGCGGAACAAGAGGGTTGTTGCATACTGTTTTGTCGTGACAGGCGCTGTCATAATCTTGGGATTCGGTAATGTCTTTGCAAGTACGCTAGGGTTTCTTATTATCTGCGTAGTGGTGTCTTTGGTGTGCTCCGTGATGTCCTTCTGGGCACTACCATATGTTATTGCAAAGGTTAATGTCTTTAATTATTTAACTTCAGCAGTCTGCATAGGTCTACCTGGTATCGGCAAGTTTTACATCGCTGGACCCGATTGTGTTCCTGGTGGGCCGCACTTCTCCTTGACATTCATGTACACTGTATGCACTATCATCTCTACCGTGTCGGGTTTGACCGGTATTTTGGTGTTCAAATACTTCTTCTCAAAATCCAACTACCGCAAAATCATGATCATTACCACGGTCATACTCGTACCTTTTGTGTTGCCTGAGGTTATCATGCTCAAGCGTTGGAATATACAGATCGGCATTCCCGATCACCTCTTTTATATCGGTACCAGTACTATCATTTCACCACTGATCGCCATGATTTCATGGATGCCATCGATATTACTGCTGTCGCGTCTGTGCCCGCGCGGCTCCGAGAGCATGGTGTATGCGCTCCTAGCCAGCTTTCTCAACTTCGGCGGCACCACCAGCACCTCGATAGGTGCCATCCTGATGGAGTATGTGTGGCCCATCAAAAGTAATCCGCCGTGCAACTTCAAGAACGCCGTGAAGCTCGTCATTGTTGGCTACATCCTCTCACCGCTTCTGATCATCCCGCTGACCCTATTGCTGCCAAACGTCCGTCTCTCTGACGAGATCGACGTCAATGGCAACGTAGTATCGAAAAAGACAGATGAAGAGCCCCACGTGAAGCCTGCCAAGGACAGCAACGAGGTCCACTGAAGCTCTCGCAGCGTTCATGGCGGGCGGGATGAGCTATCCTTCAGAGGCAACGCGACTCAGGGGTACGGATGAACCCCAAATCAACTTTTTTTCACCTCACTTCACACGACACCCTTCCAATATAAAATAAATATCAGCGTATATATATATAATAGTAGTGAATATTCGTTTGCTTTATCCCTCACCCTTTAGTCACTAACATCACCGAAAGGTAATTAAAGTTGAAAGCAGTGCGCCCCCTTCTGGTCTACCTCTATATCTTGCTTTTGTTGTCCAGGCAGCCCCTGTTCTCTTCCCTTCTCTTACGGATTTCTTTGTGATGCTGTTGTAATAGTGGCATCACTCTTTTTCGTTTTTAAGTGTTTTGTAAATGAACCGTTGACCACATTGATAACTTAGTGAAACGGTACATTCCATCGCAACACCTTTCTTATGTTGTTAATCCACGGATTGATGGATACACATGCAATATATACATCAATAATACCGATATTCATTTTTATATATTTATATATCTATTTATTTACTTATTATTTTAATTTAGTTATTTGTATATATATTTGTTGACATAATATATCCATATATTAATTCGAGACTCAAAGAGCCACCGCTTGCTAGACGGACTAAGCACTTTTTTCCTTGCGGTTTCCTGCGTTCTGTTGTAACGTGCAGCCATCCTCCATCTGAAGATCATACGCCGAGCGCCTCGCTGGGCCGCAGGGGGGGGGTTTTCTTTGGTTCCAATATAGTCGTGATGTGTTACTGATGAAGAATCTACACACCACTTTTCGCGAAATAAACCTACTGAAATTATTCATAAAAAACGGTATGTGAGTGTGACCATTTTATTTTATCTTTTTTTTCCCCTTTTCTTCGTAAAAATCTACTGGCGCACTAACAATTCCTCGCCGAATCTTTACTACTGTAGCGCACTCCTTCTGGGGCTTACAGCGGTTAATCTGTGTTTTTCTCAAGCGTCGTTGCGAGCATGGTAAAGGTACCGCCGTCCTGTTCTTTTTGGTTTACCTCTAATTTAGTGTCCTCTCTCCCTTGTCTCTCTCCACACCATCTCTAGCTAAGCCTAACAACAGACATACTGATACACCGATAGACTTCTCTCTTGCTGCCCACCGCTACAGCGAATAGGTTGACACACGTGAGAAGCCACAAAGCCATCTGAAAGGAAGCCAACAAGCAACTGTTACCATCAGGTCAAGAGGTCTTTTGCTTTTGAGGTGAGCTCCAGAAACAATCAATCACTTCACGATGGACCCAATCGCAAGGAACGCGGGCATCCCTCACCCGTACGGCGCCGAGGAAGCGGATCGACAGCCCGACCGCGCCTTCAGCACTGCTGAGGATGACGCCGGCATTCCCCTCCACCCCGGCGCGAAGAGCCTCTTCAACCGAGCACCGGTGCTACGCCGCATTCCCATCTTCGGAGAGGTCTGCGAAGCATACGGTCCCTCATGCACCATCAGCCTCGCCTTATCCTACCTGCTCTGCAAGGGTTTCGCTTCTAATATTTTTGTTTTCTCTCGCTACCCTATGCTTCGAACACGTTTTGGTATTGATGCAGCCCGCTACCAGCGGCTCTTAGCCGTAATGAAGATTGCTTGGGCCATGAAGGCCTCTACTGCCATGCTTTGCGATACATTCGCCTTCCTCGGTTACACCAAGCGCTGGTACATGTTTGCTTCGTGTGTGGTGGGCAGTGTCTTCGCGTTGCTCTACGGCTTGTTGCCAGCCAAGCCGTCGTCCGCTGATTTTGCTACTGCTTTTGTCTCACTAAGTAACTATGGTATTGCCACTGTGGACATTCTTTCCGAAGGCCATTACAGCCGTCTTATGCGTAAAATTCCAGAGTCTGGTCCGGCGCTGGTGAGCTGGATCTGGTGGATCATGACCATAGGGAGTTTTCTGGCTTCTATCCTCCAGGGCCCGCTATCGGATCTTAATATGCCGCAAGTTGGGGTGTTCATCGCCGCTGGGATGCAGTTCCTTGCATCTTTGATCTACCTCTTCAACCTGTACGGCGAGAAGATGAACCGCGAGGAGCGCATTGAGGATGCATGTAATATGCACAAGGAGCTACTCCTGGAGCTCGAGAAGGGGAAAGCCCCAAGCCGTACGGAGGGGAGAGAAGGCGCTTTCGATGTGGATCAGGGAAAGGCTCTACAGTTGGAGGCGAGTCCAGAGCTCCTGCTGCCGCGGCAGATCATCGGTTGCTGTGGACTTGTAGAGATCAACAAGGAGGTCGCCATGCGGAACAAGAGGATTGTTGTATACAGCGTTATCATAACAGCCGCGGCCATGATCATGGCTTTCGGCAACCTATTCGCAGGTAAGCTAGGGTTGCTTATTATCTGCATAGTGGTGTCGCTGGTGTGCTCCGTGATGTCCTTCTGGGCACTGCCACTCATTATTGCTAAAGCTAACGTTATGATTTATCTTAATTTTGTGCTCTACATACAGCTACCTGGTCTGCTGGACAGCTTCTACCTCGCTAAAGAAAATTGCCTTCCTGACGGGCCGCACTTCTCAAATACTTTCTACAATACTATTGCTGTTGGTATCATCGGTAACCTGGCTGGTCTAGTCGGTATCACGGCCTTCAGATATATCTTCTTGAGGTGGAAATACCGTCTATGCTTGGTTGTAACAACGCTTCTATGGGTGGCTGCCTCCGTCTTCGACCTTATCATGCTCAAGCGTTGGAATGTAAAGATTGGCATTCCCGATCACGTTATGTACGTTTGTGGTGACGCCATCATTGAACATGTGTGCCACATGCTTGCATTCATGCCAATTACAGTACTGGTGTCGCGTTTGTGTCCGCGAGGCTCCGAAAGCACGGTGTATGCGCTCCTAGCTGCCTTCGGCAACCTCGGTAGTGTCACTAGCACCTCGATAGGTGCCATCCTGATGGAGTATGTGTGGCCCATCAAAAGTAATCCGCCATGCGACTTCGAAAATGGCACGTGGCTTGTCATTGTCGGTCACATCCTCTCACCGCTCCTAGTCATCCCGCTGACCCTGTTGCTGCCAAACGTCCGTGTGTGCGACGACATCGACATCGATGGCAATGTAATATCGAAAAAGACAGACGAAGAGCCCCATGTGAAGCTTGCCAAGGACAGCAACGAGGTCCATTGAAGCTCTCACTCACTGTTGCTTATTTAATTTTAGACTTTGTCCTTGTTTCATTCTTTAATTCACTTCGAGGAAGAAATTCTTACTACGGTTAATTACTCTTTTGAAGAAAATAAGTATAAGATAATTAAAATCGAGATCCAATACTTTTATTTGCATTGATGCATTTCCCATCTCCTTATCTGCTAATAACCCTGACAGGTAAATAAAAGTTGAGAGCTGTGCGGACCCTTCTGATCTACGGATATGACTTGCTTTGGTTGTCTAGGAAGCCCCTGTTCTCTCCCCTTCTTTCACTGATTTCTTTGTGATGTTGTAGTAATATTGTGCCATCACACTTTATTATTATTTTAACTGCCTGGTGAATAAATCGTTAACCACAGTGATAACTCAATGAAACGGTACATTGGACCCCAACCCCCTCCCTTAGCTTGTTAATCCACAGATCAATGGGTGTGCTTACATATAGATATCTTCATAAATATTATTATAATAAATAATATGTTATCTGAAACTCAAAGAAGCATTGCTTGTTAGACAAAAAGGATACTTTTTCCCATGCGCACCCTGCGTTCCGTTGTAGCGTACAACCATTATCTATCTGGAGATCACACGCTAAGGACTTCGCTGGGCCGCAGGGGGAGTCTTCTTTGGTTCTAATATAATCGCGAGGTACTACTAACCTGAAAAAACAAATCCCTTTTCCGCGAAATAAATCTAGTGAATTATTTTTTGAAAAACAGTATGTGAGTGTTGCCATCTATTTTTTTTCCAGCATCTGCACATCGGTACACATTTAATTGATTAATTAGTATAACTAAACATTTTAAATCCTCCTCTTTATTTTAGATTCAGAATTGTGG